TTTTTTTTTTTTTTTTCCTTTTTGTCTTTTTTCATGTCCGGCAACAGGATCGCAACCCTCAGTGTCATGCCCGCACCTCTCTCAGCCAGTGAGCGGGAACCAGTCTGTATGTGGGATCCGAACCCTCAGCGGGAGCGCCTCTGCACTCCTAAACGGCGCACTGTAGCAGTGCACCAACGGGCCGGCCCCCATATATTATGCTTTCTTTTTTTTTTTTTTTCCTTTTTGTCTTTTTTCATGTCCGGCAACAGGATCGCAACCCTCAGTGTCATGCCCGCACCTCTCTCAGCCAGTGAGCGGGAACCGGTCTGTATGTGGGATCCGAACCCTCAGCGGGAGCGCCTCTGCACTCCTAAACGGCGCACTGTAGCAGTGCACCAACGGGCCGGCCCCCATATATTATGCTTTCTGATTAGCACAATAACACATGCTTGTGTTAAGCGAAGTGGCTAACTTGTTACTGTACAAATAATTCTTCCACGAAAACATATAAAATAATATGAAGGAATTTTATCATTTTCTATATGGAAGTTTTGAGGAGAAATTAACCTGTTTGAAAAATGATAAATAATAGTTTGAGGCTTCCAGCTTATATCTGGCTTTTCCATTTCTTCATCCTTTATTTAAGAATCAATTTGGAAAAATAATCTTGTTAATCTAGAGTAGAAAAGAATGGCATGGCGTTATATAGTTGAAGGGGAGGAAAATTTTTTTCTCAACCCTCCTAAATTCGTAATTGGGACAGATTTCTGTAACAAAAGACAGATTAACAAGAGAAAAACAAGCGGGTTTATTAACACACGCACTGCACATCATGCTGGAGAAACCTCACTGAAAAGTAACTCGAGGCCATGGTTTAGGAGTCTGGCTTATACTCATATAGTACCTCTAACAAAGGACAATAAATTACAGAAAAGTAACAAAACAACGGCAAGTAGAGGTGGGAAGGCTTGCAGGGGTGCGAAGCTGTGGGAAGGTAAATGTATGGGAGTAAACTAATACAGCAAAGTCTACCGGCAAATTCCTCTGCAACTGTCTCTGAGCTGATAAAGGGTTGTCTCCAGTAATAGAGAATTTACATTCTGTCTACAGGCAGAAATGGGGGGAGACACATTTCCTGTTTCTTAATTGCTAGCACAAAAACATTTATGTCCAAGAGGCATATTTTGGGGTGACACATTCTGGTTTCTTTCATGGTCATTAGAATTCTTTTCTATAAACCAGCATGTTTCTATGTCTGTATTTTGAGGGAAATTATCAAACCGGGCTCTACCCATTCCAGTGAGTTTGGTGCAGAACTCGATGTTGGAGCAGTTGATAAAGACAAGTTTTCTTGGAATAATAACGTGGTAAATCCAACCCTCCCCAAAGCAGGTGCAGCCAAGATCACTGTTCAAAAGCGAGAAGGGACAACCGTGTACGTATCTTTGCCAGCTTGTGCCTAAGGATGTTTGTAGAGACTCATGTTTATACTTGGGAACATCGTTACATCAACAGAAAGTCAGTTATGCCTAAGCCAGAAAAGCCGAGAAAATCTGCCCGTCTGTGGCCCTTTCTCCCCAGGCAAACAACCCCCTGAGAGAGAGCATAAAACATTTCTGCTGGGTGCAGTCTGCGGGCATTCTCAGCACTGCCTGTGTGGGTACAGAAGATACGACCCTGCCTTCAAGGAGAAAGGAGAAAAAATGAGAAAGAGAAACAAGGAAATAATTTCTTAAGGTACAGTTTTCAACTATGGGCTAGAGAGTAGTGGCATTTCAAAGAGGAGAGGACTAGTGACATTTTAAGATAATAGAAAGAAAAGGAAATCAGTTTTAGGAAAAGATAGAAAATTTGAGATAGGACAAGAGAGCCGAGGTGGCAGTACTTGTGGGACCTTCCTCCTGACCCGTGGCCTCCCTTCCTTTGTGCCTGAGTAGGCACAAGGCTTTGCATAGGAAAAGGGGACAGCCGGAGGGAAGTGGGGGTTGTGACCTCAAGGGGGCAGAGCAACTATCCCCCAAAGCTTGGCCCCCAAGTCTAGCCAGCAGGACATTCCTGGAGTGGCTTAGTGGGAAAGGGATCTGGGCTCTGAGCCACCAACAGTCTTGAGGTTTGGGAGTTAGGTGGGGCCTCTGAACTCAAGCCCCACAGAATGTCACTAGCCCAGGTATCGAGGGCAGACGGGCACACCCTGTCTCATCAGACTGAATGACCTTATGAGGTCCTCTCTATCCCCGTGAGGAAGGGAGGACAGAGAAAGTGACCCAGCCAGACGGTCAGTGGAACTGGGAGTTCCTCTCGGGGAGAGCACAGCACAGAGGAGGTGGGAGACAAGTAGGCAGCACTGTGCAGGCTGGAGGCAGCCAAGCATTACCCTCCCTGCCCCCATCGAAGGACACTCGGCC